CCATGTTGGGAAAGTAGTTCATAAGCAGGTTGCGTATTGTGTCATAAAGTTTTTTGAGTCATTGTAGATATTCTTTACATAGTAATCATGTGTTTTTTCATATTCAGAGCAAGAAAGTTGAGCATTGTTGCTGTCAAATTCTGTCCATAAACTGTCAAGGGCGATTACCCTTTTTTGTAGGTAATCTTCCGTCTTTCTCGAGGACGAATCCTTATTAAAATTCCTGTGAATCGTCCTGCTAGATTCTATTATCTGCTTTGGACGAGCAAGAAGTTCTTCCATTGTTGCACTGGGTGTATACTGTCAATAAAATGCAGATTAAATCTTGTAAATGTACTGCCACTTATGTCGTAACGATATGCAATGAACGTCTATTCGTTCTTACCGCTGCTGTTACGGTGATGTCAATTTACACTGCAATATATTTACGCACTCACAAATGTCACTTTCTCACTTTTGTATAAAATGTCACTGTTTTATATAAATGTCATTATCAATTATTGAATTTATGTCAAAATTGTTAAGAATCCATATGCCGATTTTCTTTGGCGATTTTGCACTCTTCGCACGATCGTTGACCGCTCGTCTCAACTTAACTGGTGAGACCCGCTTCTGGGAGGCCAGTTAAACCGATGCGCTGATCGTACTCTAAGATACAAAACTCACCAAAGAATCAAAACTCGAAGGACGAACATATGGATCCGGCTCGAAGGACCAATATGTACGAGCTGTTTGTCTCATACAGTAATATGTCAGGTGATATCAGCGAGATGATGCAGGGAGATGTCAAAGATGCTGTAGAAATAATACTCGACCGATACCACGGAGTAACTTTATTGTACTGAAAATTATAATTTATACATATTGCACGTGCACAATGTAGGGTGCGACGTTGCATATTGTCAGTTGCACAATAATGTACGTTGACCCGTACAACATACATACAAAAAGACAAGTCATATTTGTATACCCCGATAAAAACAGTAACACGAAATAATAGAACCCAAAATAAATTAAAGTACCGCTCTAAAAATATTGATTATTAATACTGCCACATTCTAGGGTTGTCAAAATATATAACGAAACACCTAATCATCTTAAAATTATACAAAATTGCACTACATTTGTAAATCATTTGAAACAATTCCATAATACTATAACACAGTATTGCCGAGTTCTTCGATGATATAAATAAATAATGTACTAATAATTTAATAATATTTTCAAATATTTTCAAATGTCATCACAATCTTTGAAGGGAATATAATGTACGCGTTAGTATGTTTCTGAACACGAATTTACAATTTAGATTTTAACCGACTTCAAAAAAGGAGGAGACCTCAATTTGACGGTATGTTGTTTTTGTATGTATGTTACGCGATAACTCCGGTATTTGTGAACCGATTTTCATGATTCTTTATTTGTTGGAAAGAGGGTACCTCCATTGTGGCTGTTCACGCATGTAGATTCGTTTTTATAAATAGCGCCTAAATTTTATTATAAAGAGCAATTATTTTAATTTTTGATTTTGCTGTTCTCCAATTCAAAGCGTTTTGCCCTCTCAATATAGTTTGAATAGTGAGAACCGATTTTTTATTATCTCCTGTGTCAAGTCCCGTATAGTGGCGGACTACGGGATGAATCCGGGTTTGCGCACTTTCCGGTAACCGATTCTTGGCAAATAGATGTAATTCCACGTACTTTTGAGGACGGGTTTTTAGTACTCTTTACTGACCTTAGTGTTAGAAAATGCAAATAAATAACTTGAATTTTGACAAATACAAATTGGATACGAAATTGTCCTGTATATAGAGATCAGATTAAGATTTAGAAGTTATCATTAGCTTTTATATTTTATTATCTGAATAAGTAATCATTGACGACCACACTGTTCAATAAAATTGTTATTACTCTAAAATTATGAATATTAAAAGACTTAAACACAGTTAATAATTGTATAGTGGAAAAAATTATGAATGTAATACGATGAAACTCTAATTTATAATACCATGATTAAATTTTGTATTATATCATCAGTGTATTTTGCTATCATATGTACTTCCTACCATAGTTCTAAGTTTGTGTACTATAAGGATGCCTTTCCACCAGTGATGTGCGAGGCAGCGGGGCGGTGCGAGGATGTGTAGCGGCGCTGTGAAACGGATTGATGTTTTCCACCAAAGCTGTGCGAGAATGCCTTACAAACTCTTTTCAGCTATGCGCGGGCGGGGTATGGTGTGGTGGGGCGAGCGGTGGCGATATGTCAGTGTCAGTTAGTGTCATACTTTCAGTAGCTCTAATTTGCTACACCATTTTATACACATTCCTCGTCCGCATCTCTCGCACACATTTCTTGCTATTTTGTATGTACAAATACTTCGCTCTGCTAACCCTTTTCCACCGGAGCTGTGCTAAGCGAGGCTAGGAAAATGAAAGAATCTTTTTGGTGGATTTTTTCCTCGCACTCTGCTTCGCTACGTCGCACATCTGTGGTGGAAAGGCAACCTAACACTTAAGACTATACGTGAAATGCAAATAAATAAATAAAGTACAGTCAAATCGAGAACCTCCTTCTTATAAGTTGTTTAATAATACACATATTCAAACTTACGGCTACCGAAAGTCTGGATTGGTTCTGGGAATGAAATTATTATAGAACGGAAAGGCTGCAGGAGTGGATGACCTAATGGTTGGCCAATTAAAGAAATGTACTACGGGTATTTGACCAAAGTAAGGAGCTAAAGATTAAACAAAAGGAAACTTTCATTAAAAAAATAAACGAAGTCACTAAATTAATATAGGAAACAAAGAGCAAATACCAGGCTAAAGCTTTAAAGGCTGTAAAAACAAACCGGCTTAAATGTGGAGTTTAATAAATTTCCTGTCAAAAAATAAAATAAAGGAGAAAACGATACATGCTGCGTACAGATTCTCATACTCACTCAGTATATCGAGAAAGGCTTCCAGAGAAACAATGTAACAGGCTTGGGTTTGGTTGACTGAACAGCCGCTTTCGATACAGTAAGCATACAAAGCGTTGACATCTGATCAGTGATCTTGGGCTTTGTGTGGATACTGGGCGAACTTCTTCATTACCGCCGCTTTCAGGTTCACTAACTCTCGGAAAAAAGTAGACGATGCTACGTAAAAACAGACTGAAATAGCAGGCACACGGGACTTGTCAACATGTCTCAGGCTGACGGGCGCAGTGATAGTGCTCCTCTAATCTTTGTGTTTCAGGTGTAGTATAAAACACTTTGTGTCACTCGGAAGAAAGTGCAATTCCCATCTCGTGTTTTCTGGCCCTCTCTGCTAAACTACACCTCGTTCGTAAGCAATCAATTTCTCCCCTTGGGGAACAATGTACTATTATTTTAGGCATATCGCTTTTGTCATAAATATGGTACTGGCGGAAAAACAGAGCTGCAGTCCACAGTACTTATGCTGAGTAGAGAGAGAGAATTAATTCTTAAATTGACCCTTTCAATCGCCATCGTAAAACACAGGTTTTTTTTATTTTTACATTTCAATTTTTTCGGTTCGATATCCCGATGAGGCAAATAGTTTTTTAAGTCTTTGAATGCAGCATTACTTAGTTAAAAAAAAAAACAAAATTGCCTCCATGAAAGAAAATATACTGTTCACGTGCACGTGACGTAAACAGACAACCTGACCGGACATTTGCTAAGTGATGACAATAGACTACTCAGCAGTGCAATGACCGTTCTGAACTAGGCTGCTGAGTAGAGTATTTAACTTTATGTATACATATAAAAATAATATTGTTTATAGTTTTGTAAATAAAATTCTCTTTGAATTCAGACATCAACGCTGTCTTATTGACAACGGAGCACTCCTGACTACAGCATCCTCTCACTGCGGCCAAGACACCTTTAGCCGTTAGCTTAACTGATCAGTCTTGTGAGTCTGTGAGACTGGCAGTGAGACTGGCAGTGAGAAAACCATTTCCTAAAGCACCCTTATCCTTCCCCCTTTCCGTCTGTTGCCTTAGGTCGCACGGTGACAGGCTTCCCCTACTATTTATATAAGTATATATTCCGTAGCGTATGGTTAGGGCTAGGCTGTTAGGTAGGCAACTAGGGTTGTTAGTGATAGTACAGCTTTCCCTGACCACTCATGTATAGCCAGCTAGCTACAGCTAGGTAGTTGACTGTACATATACTATCTTCACTATTTACAGTACCAACCTCCGTTCACAGACTAGAAACTAGACAGTTGCCGCAAGTGTACCTATTTCCCGTGCCCAATGTAAGTTATAAACACTAGTTGCCGCGGCTACGCTTCAGAACGTGTCCGGCTGTTATCGCGGTTAAACATAAGTTGAAAACGCGAAAAATGCCTAATTGTGCCATTAGGAACTACAAAAACACCACAACTGTGAGAAGATAAATAAGCAGGGACGTTTCCTTACACGTTTATGTATTTTGTAATCGGAATAATGTTTACAATTTATTTTAAAAACCAGTTATTTTAATTTTGAATTAATTTCGAGAAAACGAATATGCAAACGAGTGTACGCCGCTTGATTCGTAATACATTACGGCTTTTACTTGGTGCGGTACACTTGTGATCCTTCTTCTGTAGGCCACGAAAGATATTTTTGTATAAAGCATTCAGTTTCGTCGTACGACCGCTTCGTCATGTGATCAAATTTTACGATTAGTGATGTTCACGTGATACAACACAGTTTCGATTCTGATCGATTTAGGAAACAATTATTATAACCTTAGAAAATGTATAAAGATATTCTGCGAAGTTTGTTGTTTTTTTAATTTTCCGGAGCAACTTTTTTTTCAAAACACGTATTAATAAAGGACTTAATCATTTTATTCTGCTATTATTTTACTGTATTAATATTTCATGACTTCTCAACAAATACTTGAAAAATTATTATTGTAATACGTGCTGCGTCCGTGTCGTCGATTTAATTAATCGTTTTGATTTGAAGGATGTTTCCCACCACTAAATAGCGCTTCACCCGAGGAGTATAAATAATGTGGCACGCTCGATTTTCATACAGAGCGCGGGACTTGCGGTGTCTATTTCGATATATGTCTGTGCCTCCGTGTGTCCGCAGGACACACTGTATCTATACTTTTAGCATATTAGGACACAGTACACAAACAGTATATATTATTATAGCCATGCTAATATGAGAAGAAATCTTAAACATTGCTTAAAACAAAGTGTATAAACAACGAGATCTCTCTGTTCACGTTCGTGCCGACGAATATTTTTAGCCGAGATATTTCCAGCGCGTCCGCTGTCGCGCCAAGAGTGAGTCGCGAGCGAACGGCGAACGACGGCGGCGACGGAGCTCGCCAGTGGCCAGACCGCGGCGTCGCGGGCGAGGGTGCTCGCGGGGAGGGCATGGCAGAGTGTGGCAGGTGGCAGTGCGGCTGCGGCGGCGCAGCCGACGTTCTGCACGCTGTGTTCGCGTGGCTAGAGGGCGAAGAGTTGTCCCGCGTGGCTGCAGTGTGCCGTGCGTGGCGCGAGGCGGCAAACGCGCCGGCGCTATGGCGTGCTGCGTTGGCACGCCGCGCTGGCATGCCGCCGGCGCAGCTGCGCCGCCTCGCCTCGCACCGTCGCGGCCGTGGCGAGGCCTCCGGGTTTGAGCAACCGCCAGGTAACTCGCCAGGCCGGAAGGCAGGGCGGCGAGGGCCCGTCGGTGCGGGCCCTGACGACTGCACCCTGAAGGTGCGGAGAGCGACGCCGCGGAGCGCCGGGCCGAGGCGGCGTGGTGGCGCGACGAGTTCGCGCTGGCGGCGGCGGGCTGGCGCGCGCGCGGCCGGCACGCGCTGGGCGCCGGCGCCGCGCTGCTGCACGCCGCGTTGGCCGAGCAGACGCAAGGGCACCCCAAAGACGGACTCGCACTCGCCGCCGAGGACGCCACGCTGACGGTAAGCGCGCGAGCGTTGTTCGTATTGGACTCCTGAACCTAAGGCCGCGAACTCGGAACAGCGCACAGTGGGCCCAAATTGATCATTCGTGGACATGGGAATGACTTGTGGAGTATCGAGCTAAATTTTTTTTATATGATAGATAATAACATTCCTAACAGCTTTTATACTTGTATAATTTCTTGAAAAGTGGATAGTTTCGGAGAAAAAAAATAATTACTTTTTTTTCTACGGAGAAAAATACATTTTATTTGTTATCTCAAAATATAGTGACTTACAGTATAGTTCCAATCATTTCTATGTAGAAAAAATAATCCATCTGCATGTATTTGCTGCTTTGTAAGTAAAGGTGCTGCAAAATTGCCGACTTTTTATGTACTTTTTTAACAAAATACATGAGCTTCGACTGAAGAAAAATTTATTTTAGTATAATTTAGAGAGTCTTATAACAATAACATGAAACTTAACTAGAAACTAGTTTAATATTGTGTTAAAAAATAAATAACAAATCTAAAATGTTGACCTTTTTACTCGTAGAGCCGCAAGTACCTGCAGTTGGATTATTTTTTTCTTGATAGAGAATAATTGGACCTATACTGTAAATAAACCGCACACATTATATTTTCCTACATTGAGAGATTAAAAAATAAAATGTATATTTGTCGTCCTGTTCACTTATCGTATTTAAATCCATTAAGGCGTATTCGATAAAGTGTTTGCAAGGTTGGAGCATTTTCGCATTTCGATACAAGTGGTGCTTTATTCAGTGTGTCAAGATTTGCTAGTGAAAGAGGTTGCGTGTGGTTATAAATATAGAATGAGAAGTCATCGACGTATGTTTCGAAGTAAACGTTTTTTCAGATTTGACTAGTTTCATGAAAGACTGACAGCACGTTGGACTTATTTTATTTCATGAATAATGGATTATTTGAAATCCATGACTCTGGAGGTGTTTGCGCCTAGTGTCATTTCTCTCCTGTTCCAGAAGAATCACATTCACTAATTAAACATGAAAATGAGTGGTTATTAATTAGCATTATGTTTCTATTTGTGAGGATCTGTAGGTAATTGGCTCTCAGTTGTTACTATATTATATAAGTTAGCTTTAAGCCGTTGATCTTGCTTTAAGATAATAAAAAAAATATTATCACCGAGTAGAAAAATATGAGCAAAAATATTAAACCACATCAACTATTAATTATTAATACAATGATTGAACACTCAGAAAAAATTCCTTCGATCCGGCCGGATTCCAACCGACGTCTTCTAGCATACCGTGCCAGACGCTATACCAACTAAGCTACGAAACGAACCAGCGGACCTCGCGAATTTCTCTATGTGCTTGCGTCGTATCTTTTTATTTTGTTTTTCAACGACTTTTTAGCCTTAGCGCCATCTATGAGAAACCTATGATATTTTGTCACCGTTTCGTTTTATACACATTAATTATTTATTTAACCTTCCTGTACCTGCGCCAAATAGTGTAACATACTATATACCCGCGCACGGTTTGTGGGACAGAAAGTTCGAGGGCCATTTTAGTATGTTGTTTAGTAAAATATCATCGTAAAAGTAAGTTTAATATTAAAAGGAAATGTGTAAAATTGTATTAAGCAAAGTTTTATAGAATTTTTTTTTTATTAGAGATGAGCAGTATTTTATTACAGCCATTAGTAAGTTACAATATTCCTAAGAGCCACAAAAACTTGAACAAAAATGTACTTTTTATAGTATCAAAAAAAGAAACTCTGAAATGTCAAAGAATAAAAATTTAAAAACTAAATAGCATATCGTATACAAAAATATTTGTTGCTCAAAAATACTTCTTACTGTCATCGATGGAGTATTTTATGTCTATGCCTAAGTAGTAGACTAGAAACCTTTCTTCACTCTCAGGACTATCTGCACTTCTATATGATTCCCAAAGTCACTGTTGTTTTCGCCCTCGTAATTGGAACCAGAGTCATTCTCTTCCAAAAACCTTCTCATGCGTTTCTCGTTTATATGTGATAAAGGTTATAAAATATAACCTAAAATAATTTACAAATATAATACATAATGTAAACTCAATGATAATTAAAAATAACACATAACTATAGGAAGTACCAAAAATATTAATCACCTAAAACTGTGACACTCATACCCGGGTCGGTCTAAGGGACCGATAGGTGTCGTGTACGGGTATACATGTATTGTATGCACGTACACTTCTGTTACGCTGAAGTGAAGTTAGCCACGAACCATGCAGCTAGCAGTGAGCCCAAAGCTCTAACGTTTTCCGTTTCAGAAAAAACACGGCAAACGATAATCGTCGATCTATGCGACCAATGCGCAGGTATACGAAGGTTAATGTGCAAAAAGTATATGACGTATATGATATACGCTTCCTCTGTAAGCATAAAACTGTAAACAACACGTGCAGGAGTAAACGGCTTGTTATGCAAACGGCATAAGAGCAGTGTGCAGAGGAGCAGTGGGGCACTCTTTGCTCTGACGTGGCACAAGTATGCACCCGTGCAGTCATTAGTGGAAGTGATATAATTGGCTCCATATGTTTTTTGCGAAGCCATCGCATCTCCAGTCGTTAGCACTAACGACGCTGGCATTCTTTTGCAACGTTGTCTACAAGATGATCGGCTGACGGCACGTGGGCAGACTTGTGGGGATATCGCCTTATAAATAGGGCTGCTGTTTGCTAGGAGGGACATACGAGAACAAGTCGCTGGGCACAAGACAACTTCACAATACTGCCGTTTACTCTGTACCAAATACCTGGTTGTGTGATTATTGTACCTCTCGACAATAAACGAAGTATATACGTATATACTGCGTTTTGTTTTCGATCTATTCTAAAATGTAGTGAGTTCAGACCACTTTGATCGGAACCATTCCTTCCTTTCACTTTCCGACATATATTTATCCTCAACATTTTACATCTAGGTATTATATTAAAGAACAGTTGTTATCATAAAAATCTCGCCCCGCCCCGGCGAAAACCAGTTGCGTGCACGCCGCACATGACAGCACGCGCGCTAGAACGCGCCGCATGTGCGAATTTGCGACCTTAGACGTGTCTGGGCGCTTTTCATGTTAGTTTTTTCTACCTCATTTAGATAGCAATTTTTGTTATTTAAGTACTCGACTACATTGTCGTGAAATAATACATAATATTTCAGGTTACTACAATCGAATATAAATAATATACATGTCGTTCTATAATATCTAAATAATAAATGTAGCCACCGAAATTAGTTGGAGAAAAATAATTTGGAAATTACCCGCGTCTACTATTTGTAATATCGGTTCGGTAACCGCTGAGGCCTGAGCCAGAGAGAGACCACTTTTGGCAACGAATTGCAATAGGTGTGGATTTCGTTGGACGACGAGGAGGGCAGTGGCAACGAAGGGTGGCGGTTAGCGTGGCGCGACGACGCCGCCGCGCGAGGGTGGCGCAGCGCGGCGCGAGTGCAGTGGGCGCCCCCTGCCGGCGGCGGCTGCGCGCCGCGTCTCCTGGCCGCGGGCCCGCTGGCGCTGGCGGACCGCTGGGAGGTCACGCTGTTCCAGTTCGACGGTGAGAAGTCCGCAAACGCAGCCGCACAAGACCGACTGCCGCCGTACCACGCGTGTGTTCGCAGACGAATGGCGCGGGCGCGCGATGTGCCGCGCGGCGAGTAGTGCGGGCGGCGGAGCGTGGGCCGGCGCCGACGCCTTCGTCACAACAGAGCTGCAACGCGTCGCTCCTATGTGCGGTGTCACTACCGTCTGGCTGAACGCGGCGCATCAGGAAAGCACGAGGTTCGAGCGTCCTTCGGCGCCCGTGACGTAACGATTGACGCGTGACGCTGCACTCGTTGCAGGCGGAGCAGTCGGAGTTCGCGGGCGTGACGGCGCCGTTGCTGCGCGTCTACAACGAGGCGCAGGCGCACATCTCGTAAGGATTCATTTCGTCCGATCGAAATTAGGACCGTGACGCAAAACGAATCGCGGCGATCCGACGGCGCGATGTATTTTTTGTTCGTCGTTATCGTAAAACGACAATAGTTTTTCCACTCCTTCAGTATTTATTGCAACAGACTCGACACTATCGCGCGTCGGACTCCGTCGTGGCGATCCGCGAGACGTCGCGCGGGACGATTCCACGACGACGCAATCTCGTTACAAAAAATGGAGAATTGACAACGGAAAATTAAACGAGCGTTTAC